TCACCCAGTGACAAACCATACTACTCTCTATTATCTATTTCACCTTCACTACTCTCTATTATCTATTTCACCTTTGCCCATGGAGAGAGAGGGCTTGCAAGGCTTTGAGATTGACTGGAGACTACCAAATAGTCAATCTCAAAGCCTTGCAAGCCCTCCCTCTCCATGGGCAAAGGTTAAAGGCAGTGTTTCTCTGGGGGTCAGAACCCCTCAGAGCAGAGAAATATTCCCTGTTGTGGAAACCCAGGGCACTGAGAATATTTCCCTGTCTGCTCTGGGGTGCTCTGACCCCCAGGGGAGCACTGACTTTGACCCTCATTCATGGAGAAAGTTTCCTAAACTCCAGAACAGACCAGAACCCACTAAGGTGTGAAGTAGATTATAGAGAGTAGTGTAGGTGTATTATTTAAGTGGGAAATTTAGGTTTTGGGATTTTTAGTATGTTGTGGATAGAAGCAAGATGGAGGGCACAGGGTGTCATCCTGGGTTTCTTCTTCATGCTCCTTCCTTCTTCTTCATGGGTTTGGGTGGCAGTTTGTAATTGGGTGGAAAAATCCGCATTGCAGATCTTTGGGATCAGTTATTGGGTTAAAAGGGAAATAATCTAGGTGTCAGCTCTTAATTTGATAATTTAGCTTGAAAAGACCTTGTCACAACAGATTGTTGGCCATTTTTGTGGTGCTTTTCCAGTGCGCTGAGCCTGGTGTGGACAGCGTGCAAAACTCTAAATAAGATAGATAAGATAATAATAAACAAGAACCTGAAGACCAAAAAAATCCAGTGTGTTTCTTTTCTGACACAAAACCACTCCAAGAGGGTCTCCCAAACAGGGAAGTCCCCTGAGAGGGCCGAGCCTGAGTCCCAAAAGTTGGGGGGATCAGCAACAGGAACGCCAACACCCTGTGCCCTGGGGTCCCACAGGGATAGGGAGCAGCTGCCAGGGGCCACAGCAGTGCCCAGGACACTGCCAGCTCACCCACAGCCAGCACAGGCTCTCAGGACACACGTGGGGAAAGATCTGTTGGATTTGTTCTGACAATCTTATCACAGCTCTGAGTTTTTGTATCAAGGGCTGCAGTCAAGAGGGAATTGAAGGCTGGGAGCATTAGAGCTGTGCTAAAGCACTGACAGCAGCAGTTGTTCAGCCTGGAGAGAGGACACTGAGGGCAGAGCTCAGGGGGGGCTGCAGCTCCTCTTGAGGGCAGCTCTGGGACAGGGAATGGCTGGAGCTGGGCCAGGGCAGGGTCAGGCTGGATTTTGGGAAAGGTTCTTCCCCCAGAGGGTGCTGGCACTGCCCAGGCTCCCCAGGGAATGGGCACAGCCCCGAGGCTGCCAGAGCTCCAGGAGTGCTTGGACAATGCTCAGGCACAGGGTGGGAGTGCTGGGGGGTCTATGCAGGGCCAGGGGCTGCCCTGGATGACCCCCGGGGGTCTATTCCAACCTGGGATTGTCTGTGCCCAATTCCAGGACTCGGTGCCTGCCAGCTGAGGCTGAGAGCACTGCAGGCACAGCCCGGGAGATGTAGAAATCGGTACCTTGAGGATGTACAAGTCGGTACCTTGAGAATATAGAAATCGGTACCTCGAGGATGTACAGTCGGTACCTTGAGGATGTTTTAGTCGGTACCTTGAGGATGTAGAAGTCGAAGCCGAAGGCGGCGTCGATGAGGTCGAGCGTGCGCATGGTGACGGTGATGGTCAGCGTGGCGTCCAGGATCTCGCTGTAGAACTGCCGCTTGAACAGCTGCGGCTTCCACGTCTTGGGCAGCCTGGTGGAGAGCTGGGCACGGCGCGGCCGTCAGGGGCTGTCCCGGGGGAGCCCCGGTGGCACCGGCCCGGCCCGGGAAGGGCGCAGCGCTCACCTTGTCGTTGCGCGCGTAGCGGAAGCCGCGCACCCATCCCTCGCCGCCCCAGAGCCCCTCGTTGGCGGCGGGCGGGAAGTACACGGGCACCGGCACGTCCTGCACGCGCTCGCGCTGCCCGGTGCGCGGGTTCCGCCGGTAGCGCAGCCCGTGCGGCTCCCAGTGCACCGGCGTGGGCGGCGTGTCGTCCTGCAGCGAGGCCAGGTAGTGCTGCGGCAGGCGGGCGTAGATGCCCTCCCGCATCCGCATGGCGGCCCAGAGCCGCGGCGGGAAGCGGTGCAGCGGCATCGCCCCGGCCCCGCGTCCCGGACCCGCGTGCCCGGCCCCGCCGCCAATTCCGCTTCCGCCGCTCCTTGGCTGGGGCGGACGGACCGCGACGGTGGCCGGGAGGGGCCGCGCCGCGCCCGCGTTTCGCCCCGGCCAGCCCTGAGGGCGGTCCCGGCTCCTCCCGGCGGGGCCCGAACCGGGACGGAACCGCTGGAATTCCACCCCAATGGACTCGGGGGCACGGCTGGAGCTGGCCAGGGCAGGGTTAGGTTGGATTTTGGGAAAGGTTCTTCCCCCAGAGGGTGCTGGCACTGCCCAGGCTCCCTAGGGAATGGGCACAGCCCCGAGGCTGCCAGAGCTCCAGGTGAGCTTGGGCAATGCTCAGGCACAGGGTGGGAGTGTTGGGGGGTCTGTGCAGGGCCAGGGGCTGCCTTGGGTGATCCTTTAGGGCCCCTTCCCACTCAGGCTATCCCGTTATCCCGTGAGGAAGAACACACGGAGGGAGCAGAGCGCTGGAGCAGCCGAGCAGGGCAGCCCTGGGCCAGCCCACAGCCCTCCTGGACACGGCCCTGGGGCTCCAGGTGACCCTGCCTGGGCAAGGGGGGTGCAGGAGATGCACCCCTTCTTCTTCTTCCACCCCTTCTTCTTCTTCCAGCCCCGGTGCTTGTGTGATTGCAGTCACCACCATCTGCCCGCAAATACCGTCACCTTTATTAAATTATAAAACTGTAAGCTTTAAAATTTACTGTATAAAATAATCACAGGTATTAACAGCAAAGAAAAAAATAACTTTTTTTTTTTTTTTTTTTCCCCCAGACGCAGGAATTTGCTCAGATTTTACCCAAAATAATTAACCCTCCCTCCTCCTGCAGGCACCAAGGCCAGGTCAGCAGGGAGGGGGCAAAGCAAAAATGGATGATACATAAAATAAAAATAAAATAAACAATCATGTCAGCGGGATTTCTTGCCCCAAAGCTTCTCCTGCTTCCAGCACAGAAATCCCTGAAGGGAAAGGCCCGATGAGGAATTATTGCTTTCTATGATAACCGGCAATACCCGGCCATGTCAGTGGCATCAGGTCACACTGGTGGCACCTGGGTCACACTGGTGGCACCTGGGCAGCACCTGAGTCACACCAACAGCACCTGGGTCACACTGGAAGCACTCAGGTCACCTTGGCAGTACCCAGGTGACACCAGTGGCACCCAAGTCACACTGGCAGCAGTCAGGTCACCCTGGTGGCACCCAGGTCCCACTGGCAGCACCTGGGTCACGCTGGCAGTACCCAAACCAGTCTGGTGGCCCCCAGATCCCACTGGTTGCACCCAGGTCCCACTGGTGGCCTGGCATGGACGGCACGGCTGTGAAGGAGCAGTGATCCCCTGCCACAGTGCTGGGGCCTCAGCACCGCTGTGCAAACAGAGACAGGGGACAAAAAAAGTGCCTAAAAGTGGTAAAAGTTGGAGGAAGCCCTGAGGGCCCCGTGTCCCCCTTCCCAGTGTGCTGCCCTGCATGGCAGCAGCACAAGGACAGGCAGGGGACATGGGTGGCAGGGGGATGACATTGCTGGGTGTGGACAAGTGTCCCTCACTTGTCCTGAGCCTGCTTAAAAAGGGGGACTCTGCAGAGGAAGGGGAGGCAGAGGGATAAAGTGCACAGCTGAGCTGGGTGCTCTTCAAAGCAGAGAAAGAACCCCGAGGAGGCAAATCCTTCATTAACAGCTCTCTCCTCCCCAAAGCCACCTGAGGAGGGGCTCCAGCAGCACACACCAGGCTGACACAGCTGCAAGGATGGAGTTGAGCCCTTATCTGTAGAAGAAGGATGGGCAAAGAGAGCTTCCCTGGTTGCCAAGTTCTGCCCTTGCTTTCTGCGTGCCCTGGAGTAAGGCTAAGGTGGGACACGCTGCAAAGGAGACCATGGCCACCCAGGGAGCCCTGGTGATGCTCCTGGCTGGGCTGGGACTGCTGAGGCCTCAGAGCCTGCAGCACACCCAGGCTCTGGGGCACAGCAGGCTGGAGGAGCAGCTCAGGCACCACCCCAAACCACCTGTGCTGCCCCAGAGAGAGCCCTGCCCACGCCAAACCCCCCAAAAAAGGAACACAGTGAATCCCTGAACACCATCAGCCTGGCTCCTTCCAGAGCTGAAGTTAAACTCAGACTAAACCCTGCACTGCTGTGGGTGTCACATGCTGCTGCTGCTGCCTCCTGCATGTCCCCACGTGGGGTTTTTCACATTCCTGCCAGGTCTGATCCTGAATCCAGGGCCCAAGTCCCAGCCTCATCCTTCCCCCACAGAATCAGGACCAGGTAAGAGCAGCAGCACCTGTTTGAGAGGGAGAGAGGCCCCAGACCCCCAGGGAGATGGCAGCCAAGGGCCCAGCACGTGCTGGGATCAGCTCCCTCTCTCCCTCCCCATCAGCACCAAGGGCACTCGGCAGCATTTGCTCCCCAGAGCAGAAGAAACTTCTGTTCCTCTCTCGGGTTCAAGTGCTGGCTGCAGGATGGCAGGGGTGTCCCCCATCCTCTGCCAGGACGGGGTGCAGAGAAGAGCCCGGCAGCCAAAGCCTTGGCTCCAGCTCAGTGTGGGCTAAGCCCAAGCCTTGTGGATGCAGCAGCAGGGGAAGAAGGGTTGGCCATCTCCCCCAGGGCTATGGGGAAGTGGGGAACAAGCTATTCCTTGATCTGGAACCACAAAGAGCCTGCCCCACCCCAGCAGAAAAGCAGAGGTGGCCTCAAGCTTGCCTCCACAAAACCAGCCCAGACCACCTTCACCTTGAAACCCAGTCCATGCTGCGCCCTCCTGCCCAGGGATGAGCCCATGAGAGGAGTGACCATGTGCCAGGGGCAGCCACGGGCAGGAGCAGCCTCCCCATCCCTGCAGCCAGGCCAGGCCAGGCCAGGCCAGGTCAGGTCACAGCATAGAGCTCCTCACGGTCGTTCTGGCAGATCTGATAGCGACACGTGAGCTTCTGGGGCCAGGCCCAGGGCTTCTTATGCTTGTCCCGAGGAGGGAGCAGGAAAGCCACGCTGCAGGCCACCAGCACGTGCCAGATGCTGTGGGTGTAGTAGTAGTTCTCATTGGTTTCCATGAAGGCGTACACTGAGATGGCAATGAAAGCCAAGGTGATCCCTGGGAGGAGGTAGAAAACCCAGCGCTTCCACGAGGAGGGGTAGCAGTGCCTGCGCTTTGCTCCATGGTGAACCTGGGGGGTCAGAGCACACTCTGGGGGTTCAGCAGCCCAGCAGAGGTGGGGAAGGGGGGAAGCAGACCCCAGAGCATCTGCCAGCCTCCCAGGGTGTGGTGTTATATTTTATTTTTATGATATGCTCTCTCTCACCCCTCAAAAATATAGAGTTTATTCCAAGCCTTGAAATATCATGGATCTGTAATCCCATTGGCCCAAGTCTTATTCTGTACCTACTTTGAATCTCTCTTTAGGCTGTGGGGGCCCTTTTCTCCCTAGGCTCTTCCTCTCTCTCCCCCTTTCCCCCTTCTCCCTCAGGAACCATGCTGCTCCCAGGGGTGGGACCCCAATAAACCCTCACCTAATCAGCACCCTCAGAAGCTGTGTGGAGTCTCCTTGCCTGCCTGCTGCTACCAGTGAACACACAGCTTGGGGGCCCCCAGGGACCCCCCCTAAATGAACTGCTACACCAGGGTGCTTGCTGTCCCTGAGGAATTTGCCCCCCCTGCTGCCTGGGCCCATCTCTGCTCTGCAAAAGCCCCCCAAGAACCCACCAGAGCCTAGCACAGCTCCTGCCCAGGGCCAAGCCACAGCCCATGTTTTGGGACAGCACTGCAGCTCCAGGTGTGAGACCCAGAACCAGGGGTTTCTCAGCTACTGCAGGGCTGGAGGGTGAATCCCTTGCCCTGCTCTCTCCACCTGGGTGTTTCAGGGTTTCAAGCCATGCCTGGATGTGCTGGAGCCTTGGGTCTGCTCTACCACCACCATTCCCCACGGGGAGCAAAGGGCAGCAGGTCCTGCCTGACTGCCCTCACTTACCCAGGCTGTAACCATGATGAGGAGGGCGAAGAGGCAGGGACCCATCATGTTCCACACCCCTCTGCGGTCCAGCTGCAGGGACATGGCAATTAACAGGGTCCCCAGGACGAAAAGGACCTGGAAAAGAGACACCCCCACTACTGGCAGGAGCTCATCTGTTGAGAGAGCACAGCCAGATGTGCCAGAGGCAAGGAGAACCTCTTCTTCTGGCTTCCCAGCTCTGCATCCACACAAGAGTCAGGAAAAACACCTTCAAGGAGGAGAAACCACAGAAGCCACAAACCTTTACCCCAAATCTCAGAGGAAACTTTCAGGCCCAGCCCCTACAAGCACACAGGCTCACAAGCCAAAGTGCTGGGACAAAACAAGCCATGGTGGCACTGGGTGACAAACAGGCTTTGTCACCCGGCTGTGTCATTAAACACAGAGGTGAGAGGGCTCAGTGTGGTCACTTGTGGCTTGGCTGGGGTCTGGCTGGGCCACATGGGGACACCTGACACTCACGTATTTCAGGATCTTCTTGAGGCGGGCCATGCAGAGGATGGTGACCCAGATGGACACCACGGAGCCCAGGAAGTCGCAGTACTGCAGGGTGTCATAGTCCATGATGCACAGCACGGCCACGCCCGGCTGGTCGCACGCGTGGTAGAACTGCGCCCAAAGGGGACAAAAGCAAAGGTCAGCATGGAGCCAGCAGCACCACAGGGCTCTCTGGGAAGGGGAGGCAGGAGAGGGCTCAGCCCACAGGCAGGATCCCTCCTGCAGTGGCTCCTGGAAGCTCCACCAAACCACTGTGGCATTGTGGAAAGAGGGTGAGAGCAGGCACCCAGCAGCTCTGACAGGCGGGACACAGAGCAGGAGCAGGGCCAGAGGAGGGACGTCACAGACATCTTTTACGAAAAATCCTTTCCTTAGGATTTTTCCTCCTGAGAAGCTGTGAGGCCTCAGGAACAAAATGTAAACAATGATTATCTGCTGCTGTGGAATGCAATAAGTGGATCTGTGATTGATCTCATGTGGTTGTTTCTAATTAATGGCCAATCACAGTCAGCTGGCTTCGACTCTCTGTCTGAGACCAAAGCCTTTGTTATCATTCTTTCTTTTTTATTCTTAGCTAGCCTTCTGATTAAATCCTTTCTTCTATTCTTTTAGTATAGTTTTAGTGTAATATATATAATAAAATAATAAATCAAGCCTTCTGAAACATGGAGTCAGATCCTCATCTCTTCCCTCATCCTAAGACCCCTGTGAACACCATCACAGAGGGACAGCTGACAAGGGGACTGAAGCACCTCCTCTGAGAAGACAGGCTGAGAAAACTTGGCCTGATCAGCCTGGAGAGGAGAAGGTTGCATGGAGAACTCACAGAATCTGAAGGGGGCTACAGGGAAGCTGAAGAGGGATTCTTCTCAGGAACTGGAGTGATGGGACAAGGACTAACGGGTACAAATTGAAAAAGGGGAAATTTAGGTTGGATTTAGGGAGAAATTTTTTACTGTGAGCATGGTGAGACACTGAAAAAGGTTTCCCAGGGAGGTTTTTGATGCCCCTGGAAGTATTCAAAGCCAGGTTGGATAAGGCCATGGATAACCAAGTCTAGTGGGGGTGTCCCTGTCCATGGACCCAGGTGATTTTTAAGGTTCATTCCAACTCCTTAACATTCTTGGATACTACAAGAATGCTAAGGGGTTGGAATGGACCTTAACATTAACATTTAACATTCTTAGATACTACAATGTGCCCATGGAGGTGCTTGTCCAATGATCCCAGGACCTCTCTGTGGAGATCAGGGATGGGCTGCTCCACCAAGGACTCCATTCTGGCACAGCATTCCCAGAGCTCAGGGGGAGGTGAGGGGACACAGGGCAGTCCCTACCGTGGAGAAGAACATGGTGTAGGTGTAGACAGAGGCCTCCACCAGGTAGAAGCGATAGACAGCGACTGCAATGGCGGGCAGGAACATGAGGTTGCTCAGGGTGAGCAGCAGCGTGGCCAGGTTCTGTGTGCCCACGGTCTGGGCCTTGCTGTCATCTGTGCAGCTCCAGCCGCCCCAGCCTGCGGACAGAGAGGCTGCTGTGGATCTCCAAGGCCCTGCCTTGTCCTCCCACAGCAACCAGCAGGAGCTGGGGTGCCTGGGAAGGAGCAATCCCACACCCAGACATCCCTGAGCCTCTTCTGCATCAGCCTCTCACGCTGCTGCTCTCAGGGTTTCATAACTCTGCTGTGGGAAGCTGGGAAAGCCCAGCAGAGCCCTGTGGCCGCCCTGAGGACATTCCCCAGGTGGTCCCCATGTAGCAGAGGCCATCCTACATCCACACTGGTGCTTTCCATCCCTGCAGTAACTCAACACATGTGCTGCTTGCTGGTGGAACATCAAGTACTCAAGGTTCAGATGCTTCATGTGATGGTGTAAGTTGGGTGCAAGATCCCTGAGGAAGCCACTGGGTTCCTCTCCTACCAGCTGTCATAGCAGGGCAGACCCCAAACCAGGTCAAGCTGCTCTGGACCTTCCCCAGCTGACTTCTGAAGATCTCCAAGGATGGAGACCTGGAACCTGTGCAAAAACAAACAGCTCTGAAGGGGAGAAAAATGTGTCTTCTTCAATTTAGGTGACAATTTCCTTGCTGCAGCCACTGTCTGTGGCCTCTTGCCCTTTCCCTGTGCTCATCCTGCACAGCTGGCTCCAGGGTCCCTGGAACCTCTGGGCAGCACAAAGTGTTACTGGTCCCACTGCAGCTCCTCTTCCACTGGCTGAACAAACTCACTGCTTCAGCCCATGGTGACATCCAGGGCTGCACAGGAGTGAAAATTTCCTAAAGGACAATGCCTGACACAACACAAAACTCTCACCCCTGACTAGATACCAAGGACTGAACTGAGGCAATCTCTACAAACACAAATCTGCCTCTTCTTTTTAAAAGCTATTTAAATTATTTAAATTAAAGATTAAGGTGCCCATGCCCTCCTTTTGAAGAAAGGAGGCCAGCCACAGGGCAGCTGGGGTATGTGCAGGCACTCCATGGTCAAGAAGCAGAGTTAACAGTGGCATCCATCTCATTCCAGAGTGACTGGAAGCCACAGCAGCAGCTCTGCCCCGAGTGCTGGCTCTGGGCCAGGCAGAGCCCAGGGAACCTACTCTCTCTGCTTTATTTCTGGGTCACCAATGTGCAGATGGGGCACTTTGCTCGGGGTGATTCAGCAGAAAGCTGTCCTCAGCCTGATTCTCCAGTTCCCTTCAGGTGCTCTGTGCTTCCCAGAACCTGGCAGCCTTGGGGAAATTGGGATGCTGCTCTCCATCTCCCTGCTCACCCATCAGCAGCACTGCAGCAGGGAGGCCCTGGCTCAGGCCCAGAGCAGCAGGGAGCCACATTCTGCCTTGTCTTTCTGCTGAGAACAGGTGCACAGACCCACCCAAGCACGGCAGAGCTCTCCTTCCCTCCACCACAGACTTCCCAGGCCATTAAGATAATGAGGAGCTGACACAGATATTCCTCCTCCAGGGGCACCTCTGAGTCTCAGGCTCTTGGCAGGAGACACAGGGACTGCATCTCATCACATCTCGTACCAGGAGCCCACACAGCAAACCCTGACGGGTACAGGCTCTGGCACAGGCATTTCAGGCACCCTGATCTCTCTGGAGATGCCCACCAGCACTGCTCCAAGCCCTGGGGTGCTCCAAGCTGTCCTCATCCCATTCCCCATCACCCCTGGGCGCTTCCCAGACCCTTCCTTCCCCGGGCACCGTGACAGTGCCACCCAGAGCAGACCCCAGGCTCCCCCACCCCAACCCCACGCCCTGACCTGTGCTGTGCCCTCGGGGAGGGTGGCAGAGCTTCCCAGGAGCGGGCACTCACCGGCCTTGCAGCTGCAGCCGGCGTAGAGGAAGCCGTGCCTGCGCAGGAGGCTGCACTGCCCGTAGGGGCCGCAGTCGTTGAAGCAGGGGGTGAGGTAGGCGAACACCGACACTCTGCCTTCAGCACCGGCACAGCCCCTGCAAGGACAGCACATCCCCTTGCTGCCACAGCCCTGGGGACAGCCCCCTCCCTGCTCCCCATGGCCAGGCCGTGCTCCTGCCTGGTATTTTGGGGTTTGCTCCACCCCTGAGAGAGCCAGGAGCAGAGCCTGCCCCTCGCCCCCTGGGCTGCCAAACTGATGTGCAGGGGGGTGGCAGCTGTCCCCAGACCCCATGGCAGTGCCCATGACTGTCCTCAGGACCAGTGTCACCAGTGGTTTTTTGCATCATGCACTTGGCATGGTTTCCTTACACAGGAGACGGGCAGGAAGGCAAATTGCAGGAATTCTGCACCTTAGAGACCTCCCAGAAGGGCAACAGCAGCGATCATTTCCCAATTTATCACCTCTGAATGCACCTGGGGAAGGGGAAGCTCCCCTAGGCAGGCTCTGCCATCTGCAGTCCATGTGAGCTGTGCCAGCTCAGCATCAAATGAGCTGCAGGGTGCTCACAAGAGAGCAGGGCCACCCCCTCCCTGCCCTCTGCAGCCACAGGGCAATGCCACCAGCTGAGAGAAGCCCACAGCCCAGACAGGGGGTCAGGTTTGCTCACACAAGGGCAGTGGGAGGCATGAGGTGACATCCAGACTCACCCCTGTGCCCTGGGGCAGAGGAGCTGCAGGGACAGGAACCAGTCATCGGTCTGTGGGTACAGGACAATCAGCGTGGCTTCTGCAGAGGACGTGCTCACACTCAGAGGGTAACCCTGGGAGAAAGCTGGAAAAAGGAGGGTGCTGTGATGTGCCAGGGCTTGGGGAGAAGGACCCACAGCAATGCCAGGCTGAGACTGACCACACAGGGACCAGCTGCCTCCTGTGGCTCCTTGCTCCCATGCTCAGGAGGCACCAGGGGCATGGAGAGCACCCCTGCTCTCAAGACCCTTTTTCTTGAGATCTCAGTTTTTTATCTCATCTCAGTTCCTGGAACATATCTGGGCAGCACAGGGCACCTGGAACAGCCTGTTGTCTTGGCTGGTCCTCCAGTGCACAGCTTAACTGCTTTGCACACCAGCAGTACCTTCACCATCCCCAAACCTCCTGCCAACAAGGCTGGAAGAGCCCCAGCTGGTAACCAGACCCTCCTTTGGTGGAGGCTATCTCGTGGTGCCAAGACACCACCTGCACCCCAGCACCCTGGGAATGTGCCAGCACAAAGACCCCAGGAGGGTTTGTGCAAAAACTGGATTCTTTGGGACACACCATGAAGTCCTGAGTCAGTTAACAGCCTGCCAGGCCGAAAAGCAGAGCCTGGGATGACACAGCTGAGCTGGTGGCAGTGCCAGCATGTCTCCTACCTGTGCTGCAGTTCTGTGTGGCGTTGAGGGACAGCACTGGAGAAGCAGCACTCACACAGGCTGCCACGGTGGCATTGGCCAGGCTCACAGATGTCTGCAAACAGAGCAGTGCCCCACGTTAGAGTGCCCCAGTGCCATCCCCCTGCACCATCCCTTTCCCACAGTGCCCAGGGAGAGTAAAGCCTTCAGGTCAAGTCACCCATCAATCCAGAAGGTTTCTGTTTCACTGGACCTTGTGCTGCCACTGTGTTGTGTCATGGATGAGAGGCAAGAGACCCTCATGGGGGAGTCTGCCCCAAAGCTGGGACACCCACTCATCATTTCAGCACCCACACAGGGGAGACACAAGTCAGAGTCTGCAGAACATTTAATGGAATTTCAGGGGGCTGATTTTGGTGGTGGTGTGGTGTCACTGAAGGAGCCTGGGGATCAGTGACTTGGACAGGAACGTCCCTGGGTTCCCCTGCCCAGCCTCCTCTGCTGGTGGCAAGGTGCCAGGCTCCCATGGAGAGGACAGCACTGCAGCTGCTTTCCATTTTGTCTCCTCTGCGTCACTGCCACCACACACCACAGGCTGTGCCATTGGAATCGGAGCTGGCAGGTGGGACACGCTGCCAGCAGCTAAAAAAGGCTTGGAGTACTTTGCAACAACAACAAGAGAAACAGTCCCACCGTGCCTACACCCCCTGGAGCCCTGCCAAGGGGACACGATGCCGTTCGTCCCCCTGCTCACCTTGTTGAGCAGCAGACTGACCACGAGGGATCCCCCGCTGTCCATGCCCGTGTTGAGGTTGAGCAGGAGCAGGGTGGGGGCCAGGGAGCTCACGGGCACGCTGGGGCCGTTCAGCAGCCGGTAGCGCACGGACACCACGTCCAGGTCCTCCCTGACCACGGGCTGGCTCTGCAGGCACGAGCTGCTGCGCTGCCCAGACGTGTTCTGTGCAGCCCCTGCTGCAGCCACAGCAGAGCTGCCTGCTGCTCCTGGCCTGTGGGCACCAGCCTGGCTCTGGTTCAGGCTGATGAAGTTAAGGAAGGAGCTGCTGCTTCCTGGTCTGCAAACTAGAGTGAAAAAGGAGAGGAATCAGCACAGCCAGGTCTAGCACCTCACCCAGCAGATCCAGCGCTCCAAGGGGCAGCACAAACTGGGGGTTTCAGGTGGTTCATGCCCTGCACAAACTGGGGGGGGTTTCAGGTGGTTCATGCCCTGCACAAACTGGGGGTTTCAAGAGGTTCATGCCCTTCACAAGCTGCAGATTTCAGGTGGTTCATGCCCTTCACAAGCTGCAGGTTTCAGAAGGTTCATGCCCTGCACAAACTGGGGGATTTCAGGGGGGTTTCAGGTGATTCATGCCCTGCACAAACTGCAGATTTCAGGAGGTTCATGCCCTGCACAAACTGGGGGGGTTTCAGGTGGTTCATGACCTGCACATACTGCAGATTTCAGGAGGTTCATGCCCTGCACAAGCTGCAGATTTCAGGAGGTTCATGCCCTGCACAAACTGGGGGATTTCAGGTGGTTCATGCCCTACACAAACTGGGGGATTTCAGGAGGTTCATGCCCTGCACAAACTGCAGGTTTCAGGTGGTTCATGCCCTGCACAAACTGGGAGGGTTTTGGGTGGTTCATGCCCTGCACAAACTGGGGGGTTTCAGTGGTTCATGCCCTGAATGAACTGTCCCTGAGGTGCCTGAACCTGTCCCTGAGGTTCCATCTTTGCAGGAGGAGCACCCACAAGCTGGGATGCTGCAGTGGTACAGTGGGTGGAAGCACTCTGGAGCTGCAGGGAAAGGGGAACAGAAGAAGGGATAACACAGCACCGTGAAGGTGCCCAGGGAGTGCTCAGTCACCACTAGCAGAGCTCAGTACTCAGCTGTCCCACAGGCTGCACAAAAGTCTCTCCCAGCTATGTGAGCAAACAAAGCTGAGCAGGAGGGAGAATCCAACCCAGTGGAGCTGGGCACACTGTGGCAGATGGAGCTGCATGGAGTTCCACTGCTGGAGACTGTCCATTGCTCCCAGAGGCTCCAGTACCACCCTCTGACAACATCTCTGCTGTCAGTGCCAGGTCTTCCAGCACACAGGACGAGGCTCTGCTTTGAAGAGGAGGTGGCAGAAGCCCCAGCAGAAGAAAACTTTAAAAATGTACCTAATTGGCGAGCTTCCAGCAGTCAAACAGGGATTATGGTCATGTAATAGCTGCAAATGTGCCTATCACAGCCACAAGGACCTTGTGACCACCTGAGCCACATGGTGTCACTGGAAATGGTGACATCCCCTTACAACAACTCCAGACACTTCCCCAAGTAAACCTCTGTGGGGTGGTTTCCTGCCTGTAGCCTGCTCTTGGCCAATTCGTAGTCAATACAGCCGTAGTCTGGTGTACCACAGAAAAATCTTTTCCCCACCAAATTTTAAGCCAGCCACTGCTTTCCAAACAACCTTTAAGACAATAACATTGAACTTTTCAGGTGTTTCCAAACAGGCAGGTCTAGCAAATGCCTCTCTGGGGTGAACACCAGAGTTTTCAATTTTATCCCCAAAGCAAAAACTATGCTGTCCAAGAGGAGGCAACCAGCATGATGGGGAGCATTGGCCATCACAGCCAGGCACCCAAACACCCAAGGGGGACACACCACACACAGAGCTCCCTCTGGTCCTTCTCTTATGCCTGAAGAACATGGAATCCCACCTGTGAAAGAAGCCAGCATCTCCACCGACACGCTGGCGTTGGCAGAGCCCAGACTCTCCACCATGATCTGCAGCCACTTCTCCCAGGGGGGCGACTCCAGGGCCAGGCTGCAGTTGGTGCTCCCCGTGCAGGTGAGGCTCCTCTGGAAGGACTGGGGCAGGGTGATGGAGCCCAGCAGCACCCTCACAGTGCAGGCTCTCTGCTCGCTGGTGACGCAGCTGCTCAGCTGGAACCGCATCGCCGCCGCGTGCTTGGGAACGAAGACCCTGCAGGGGAGGGAGCAGCAGTTGGCAGGGCTTGTACTCTCAACACAAGGTCCCCAGGGCTTTGTGACAACAGCTAGACTGCCCTGCTTCATGCTGTGAAAATCCTTCCCAAGGCAAACATCTGGAAGAACTAAAACTCCTGCAGTAGAATCTGTGACCACCTGGGAAGAGCTGGAGAAGGTGCTCGTGTGCTCCCCGTGCAGACCCTAGCACTGCTGCAGGGAGCTCAGCAACAGGCTCACAGACCCCTCAGCTCCAGCCCCACGTGGGAACAACTCTGCCTTCCCCTCAGCAGCTCGTGTGGGGAATCCCACCCTGCCATGCCCTCGGTTGCCCACCCGCTGCTCCCACTCACTTGACATGCAGTGGCTTAGCAGGCGAGACAACGGTGTGAGGCATGGGCACACCAGGCTCCAGGACAGGCATATCAGTGAGTCTGAGCACAAACATATCTGCCTGGAACATATAGGGGCATGGAGTGGAGAAGCCCTGCAGGAGGGGAGAGCACAGGGGTCAGCTGTGGTTGTGATGAGACACGAGGGGCAGGGCACTGGGCAGGAGCCTCACCTTGACCTCGATCCTGCCCGCGGCCTGGGGCAGGTGGGCGGCGATGAACCAGTCCCCAGCAGCGGGGGTGGTGACGTTGACAAAGGTGGTGTTCTGCACAGCACTGCTCAGGGTGATGCTGATGTTGTAGGAGGGACGGACGGTGGCGTTGGCAGGGAAGCGGGTGCCCAAGGGGTTAATCACAGGAGGGGCTCCGTGCCGAAAGTGCCTGCGAGAGAAACCAGGCAAGATCAACTGGGACACAAACTGGCCTGGGACTGGAAAGGGAGCAGGCTGGAAAACCCCACATTTTCAAGTGGAGTCATCATTTTCATTTAGGGAGGATTGGCTGCTATTAGCTTATCTGGGATTTATTTAGAGATTGGTTTAACTTGGCAGCTTATTAAGATTTACATGGTTCCGTCAAGCCTGGGAGCAAATTTCCAACACTTGCTAAGGCTAAGCCCCACCCACAGAATTCTGCTTTAAAACCATCAGCAAATTCCCCATATAGGGAAAATCATCTACAAAGAACTTTAATTTTCTAGCTGAGATCTGCATCTTCCCATTTCCTCTTTTAAGGAAGGCGAACAGACAGACTAAAAAGACACTTTCCAAGGAATGCCCCTATTACAGACTTCAGTACAGCAGCACTTCTACTTTCTAGATAAGCCCAGCATTTGAAGCAGCAGGAACACGCATGGCTGAGGAACGTGGGAGATATTTACCCAGTCAATTTGGCATTTAATTTGATTGCTTTTGGACTGCACTGCAACAGGTCCAGCAAGCAGACATGACAGGTGATATGTTATTACTCCTTGGAGCTTATCTGGGTTAGCCATCGTTTCTTGGATTATTGTTTAGCTGCTGCCTTGTCCCTCACGTCCCCAGACTGCTGGAAACCTTTCTGGGCAGCAGAAAGCAGGCAGATCATCTGTGCCAGGCTGCTCAGGAGCAACTAAGAGTGCCAGTCTCCCCAGGACAGACCAGGGAGGCACAAGGCAAGCAGCTTCAGTCACTCCCAGATCTCTGTGCAATGGGTGCCACAGACCCGTGTGACTCCATGGGCACAGCTTGCTGAGGAAGCTCGGTGTCCTCCAAAGATAAAGCTCAAAATCTGCCAAGTTTTGGACCTCAAATCCTTCAACAAGTCAAGCACTGTTTTAAAAGCAGCATTTCTCTCACTGGCATTGAGTTTGCAATCTCCTCATGCTCCTGTATCACACGACACCACATTCCTCTCCTATCTCTGCTCCACGCTCGCCCGCGCCCCTCACAAAGGGCCCCCAAATCTCCTCAGTGCTTCTGCATTGGGCAGTTTGCCCATCTCCGGCCTCTCTGGGTCTGCTCAAGCCCCTTGTAGCCCTGCCACATCGTTTGGCACCATGTGCAGGTTCTGCCAGGCCAGGAACAGCTCTGAGCAGCACACCTGCCCCGCTGTGCAGCTCTCTAATGTCCTAAGGGCTCTCTTGGACAGCACAGCTGACAGGCAGCCCCAGAGCCGCTGGTAACATGAACACCAAACACTCCTACAGGTTTAAACACAGACTCACTGCTGCTGCATGAAGAAACCACATGAGGAACTGCCCAGCCTCCACAACCAACCAGCCCCACCACGAGTGACCAGGACGAGGGGACAAGAAGCCCACAGGACAAGCCCTGGCACGGGGACACAGGACATACATACACAGTGATCTCCATGCTGGTGCACTCAGGGCCCTTCCCCCGGGACGCCTGCAGGAGCCAGCGCAGCAGCACGGTGTCCTCGGGCACGTGGAAGTGGAAGAGCTTGGCGTTGCCATACCAGCTGTAGAAGGAGAGCTTCTGTGCACTCTGAGAGAAGTACTCGGACACATACAGGGAGTCTGCGAGGGAGAGAGCACAGCAGTTGGTGGGGGAGCTGCTGGGGGCAGCCTGCAGGGCTTTATCCACCCACAGAAGCTCACAGGAGGTTTAATGTTTCTTGGAACAGTGCACTCTGTGTCCCTGATTTCTCATTCCAGTCCCATTAGATACGTGGTGATCCGTGCACCTCCAGCCAGAACCACCCACGTGCCTACTATGAAACCATCACCCTGAACCAGAGAGCACTAACAGATGCCTAAACTTCACCCTGAGAAACGTGCCCTGAAGATAAGAGATCACCAGAGACACCAAGGGGGAGGAATAGGTCAGGAGGAAAGGCTGATGGCAGGAAGAAAGGTGATGGAACACCAGCAGGAGCCCTGGGCACAGCACGGAGCAGATGGGTGCAGGCAGCACAGGGTGCCCTCTGCCCCAGCAGCAGCTCATGGTGCCAAGACCTGTGCCCTTGTCTCCTGCTGGGCACAGAGGCAGATGTTTTACATGGGCAGAGAGTGAAAGGATGTGGGATGATTTTAAACTAAAGGAGAGGAGATTTAGATTGGGTGTTAGGAGGAAATTCTTCCCTCTGAGGGTGAGGAGGCACAGGTTGCCCAGAAAAGCTGTGGCTGCCCCATCCATGGAAGTGTCCAAGGCCAGGTTGGATGGAGCTCAGAGCAACCTGGTCTGGTGGAAGGTGTGTCCCTGCCCATGTAAATGTCCCTTCCACCCCCAAGCATTCTGTGGTTATCCATTAACCCAGCTCAGGACACACGGTGCTGCCTTCCTGTGACACACAACACCATGCAAATTCATGTGCTGTGAGTGTAACTCTTTCAGACATACCTTCTAAAGCCTGGTGATTTTCCTAGCTAGAGGAAAGGCTGCTGGGACAGTGAGAGCAGCCCCAGGGCAGGATGAAAGGGGACAACAAGAGGACAACAGCTACTCAGCCCAAGTGCCATCAGGATGAACCAGATCCTCCATCCCTCTCTCCAGCCACACACCTAGAGATCACCTCCAGAGAAATCCACATTACCAAACCAGCCAGACTGCAGCTCAGGGCTGGGAAAGAAGCATCACACCAGCTGAGAAAGGGATAAACTGCACAGAGACAGCGGAGCCAAGGCCATCCAAAACCAAGGTTTGTAACACTCAGCAAGAGGGCAGAAGGTTATGCCTTCGTGTGTCTGTGGAGATGATGGAGCATCTTCTTGGTGCTCCTTTCCTACTTCGGAATCCCCAGAGTGGGGAGAAGCTGTGGCACCTTCCAGAGGCAGATTCCTCATTTCTAGCACGGAATAGCAGTGAGGGTGAGTTAACCTGGCCTTCCCTCAAAGCTGCACAGGGTTGTGCTGCAAACACAGAGCTGTTATACACAACTGTGCGTAAGAAAGACAGCTAGGAAAGAGGAAAACAATCCTTGGGCAGGAGCAGATCCTTGGGACGCAGTTCCTGCCGGGAGGAACCTAATCCTAGCAGGAACAACGATTCATTCATGCCCCAAAGGAGGACGCTGCACCCACAGCGGGGCCGGGAGACAGGAACGGTAATCATGGCTTAAACTCCTTGGCAACTTCCCAAGGCAGAGCCTGCGGGCATCCTGCGAGCCCGGCAGGGAAAGGAGGAGACAGGAAAGCCAGAAATTCCAGCCACACGAGGCAGCTGGAGGATCTGCTCGGGAGGAAGAGCGTGGCTCTGACCTTGCCGCAGGGGCTGCCCCAGGGGACAGAGCTGGCAGCACCTCCGTGCACAGAGCCAGGAAAGGCCACGGGGAAAAGTGAGCCTTGAGCAGGGCAGTCAAGAGAGCACAGCCCCTGGGCAGAGCTGGGGTCACACTGCTCTCCAGCCAGCAAGGAGCAGAGACCACAAAAGGGGCTTTCAAACCAAATCTGCCTGGCTGAAACGCCAGCACAGTGCGTGGGTACTGTGGACAAGAGCTGGCTGTGATCCCTGCGAGCCCAGGGACATTTCCCTCACTGGGGCTATGGAAAGGAGCAGGCTTTCATCAGTGTGTCTGTACCTCCAGCACACTCCACACACTCTTGGCACACTCGTTTCTGGCAGCCTATGGGGACATTTGGGCACAAGAGGAGGGCAGGCAGGGACACAAAGCATCATTAGAGCTGGGAGAGCCTCAATCCTTCTCCACACAACAGGTTGTCCCATCAGACAACCTCCTACCTGCCCCAAGCCCACCAGCTGTCAGCCACGGCCACCACCCATCCTGCACATCCTCACCGAGCCAAAGCTGCCTTTGTGTGGGTTTGGGGGAGGACAGGGCAGGCCAGCTGCAAACTTAAAACCTCCAGCAATCAGCAGTGCTCTTTATTAAGGACTGGTCGATTCCGTGGAGCGAGCTCAGGAGCATTACCAGGTCAGAGCAGGCAGCCCTGCCCTGCCCACGCACTGCCTGTCACCAGGTGAGCACCAGCTGGGGCTGTGGGCAAAGTCCACTGACAAACAGCTGCTTGTGGTGACAAGGGCTGAGCCCCTGCTCACAGCCTGTGCTGGGCACCCGGAGCCTGGTATGTGCCTTCATCCACTCAGGGTGACAAGGAAATAACACAGATAAGCGGGACATCAGCACAGGAAAGCCTGAAAGACAGGTCTCTGCAGCCCAATGTGTGCTCGGGCAGTCCAGTGTGTGCTCTGGCAGCCCATTTGCATCAAGAGAGAGTTCTCTGGCATGTGCTGTGCTCTCTTTGTGTCCATCCCTGTCTATTCAGTCTGCTGGATGCCAGCGTGGCAACACCTGGAAAGTCCCACTTGACAGTTCCATGATGTGAAACAAGCTTTAAACTGAGCGAGAGACCCGTCCAGTGGATGCTGTTTCCCATCTTCTTCCATACAGATCTCACATAAGCAGATTTCAAAGGTACTGTGCAAAAACCAGAAGTGTTTTAAGACAAGGAACAGAACATGGTAGAATCCCCGACGCACAGAGGAGACACATTATTTCAATTTCAGAGTAAAGAGTCACCTGCCACAGCTTGGGTTTGTTTGTCCAAAGATGATCTCATGGTAGTTTTAGGACATAATGCCTTGGCTGTGGGTTTCACAGGGCACCCCATCAAAGGGATGGAGCCCTCATTTCAAAGCAGACACCGAATAAAGCTCCAGAGTTGATGAGCCTGACTCCAGCAAAGGCTGGGCTATGTTGCAGGATGTTTCCCCACTTACAATGTAACAGCAATCCCGTTCCTTTATCCCGGCTCTAAAATCCACCTGCAAATGTTGCAGAGCAGGGATCCCCTCGCTCCCGGGGGAGCTCCCAGCTGATCTCTGCCAGCTCCCAGCCGAATCCCCACGGAGCTTTTCCCTACAGAGCCATTCCCACAGGCGGCGGGACGGCGCCGGGACAGGGCCGGCCCCACACCTGAGGCGCAGGGAGCTCTCCAGGCTGGAACCCAGCGAGCAGGATGCCAGAGCAGGGTGGGCCTGGGGCACGGGGCCACGTCCCCGCGGCTGCCGGAGCCTCACGCTCTGCGGACCGTGAGGAAGCGATAAGCAGCATCACAGGACAGCCACGGGCACAGCGAGCCCACCTCCGAGCAGGTGAACAACCTCAGCTCCCCGAACCTCTCCACCCCACAGCAGCTCAATCCCCGCCGGACCCCAGACCCACCGCTGTCCCAAAAGCCCCGCTCCCATCCATCCGTCCGCATGCACTGGAAGTAAAGTAACCTGAAAACAAGGCAACCCCAAGGAGAACAAGAGCTGCGAACACAGCAGAGCCCTCTGCGAGTGGCCTGACCTGCCGCTGCTCCGCAGGGCCGGCACAGGCGCTGCTCCCCGGGGATGCTCCGGAGCCCCCGGCTCCCTCGGGAGAGCACGAACCGCCCCAAAGCCACCGCACATCCCCCCCGACAGCAGCTGCGACACCCGGGGCAGCTCCCGGGGCTCCCCTCGACATCACCCTCCGCCGTCCCAGCGCCGCTCTGCCCCCGAGACCCCGCGGATCGCCGCTCTCCGCCCCGCCGGGACTCACCGGGGCCGGCGAGGCTGGCGGGCAGCGCCAGGAGCTGCAGCAGCAGCAGCAGCAGCAGCGGCGGCAGGGGCGGCCCGGCTGCCCCGGCCATGGCCGCCCGCCCGCCGCTGCCCCGGCCCCGCCGCCCGCCCGCCCCGCAGCGCCGCCGCCGCCGCCGCCGCTTCCGCCGCCCGCCCCGGGCCCGCCCCGGGCCCGCCCCCCGCCGCACCGGAGCGACGGAGCGGGGCTGGGCTGGGCTGGGCTGCCCGCGGGGCCGCCGCTGCTGCCGAGGCTGCCCCTACCGCCCCGTTCCGCACTGCCCCGTTCCGCCCCGCTCCGCTCCATCCTGCGAGCCCCGGGACGCGCCCGGCCGGTCGCAGCATCCCGGGCACGGCGCCGGTGCGGCTCCCGGCTGTGCTGCTCAGCGCCGGGAAGGCCGGGGAATGAGGTAGTTGGGTACTTGGAGATCAGTTGGAGCTGGAATCACAAACACGCACATGGCTCGATCATGACCGGGCAGCCCCCACCGTGCCCCCGCTCAGACGGGGAATCACGGAGGAGGCTCAGCCCTGCAGCTGATGGGTGATTTAATGTTCGTTCCTGCAAAGTCCATTGCTTTCTCTGCTCTCACGGATCTGCCATGTTCATAGGACTCACGGGAGATGTGGCTTTCATAGGCACGGTCAAGTCATTCTCTGATTTTCCAGCTGATTTCAAGAGACAAGGATTTTCTTTTACCTGCGTTTTCCTTGGGATACCTCTAATGTGTTCCCAGCTGAAATCATGCAGCTTGGGGACAATCTCAGAGTCCTTGCTCAGGCAAAAATCCCACCACTCCCTTACGAGTCAAGTCCTCCTTAGCTGAGGACTTCAGACCTGTTTCCAGTCAGCCACAAGCTCCCTCGAGGTGGAGTTTCTACTTCTGGAGCTCAAAATCTTTGCTGCTTGCTATCACAAGACTTTACTCTTTGTAATAAATTCTTGGGATGTGGGAAGGAAGTCCCCTGGGGAAGTGCCTGTCATTTTCCAGGAGCTCTGACATCACCAAAATCCCAGTCAGAGCAGGCTGTGTGCTCAAAGCTGGCAATGTCCTCACCTGATTTAGGAGAAGACTTCCCTGAAGTCAGTCCACAAGCTGAGCACATACAGCTCAAGGGATGGGAAAAGACAATTCTGCTAATTTCCAGCTTCAATTTGCTCACTGCTTGTTCATTTCCCCTTGCCCCTGTGTGATACTATCCTTGAATTTTCAGAGCTCTCCTTCTAAGTGGAAAACAAATAAACCCTTCTGTCCCCATTCTACATTAATTTAGCCTTCAACTTCACTTTTAAAGATATCAGCTCATCTCCAATCAGCCCTTATGAATTACTTTCTTGAAATGCCATTTCTAGTTATTTTCCTCTTAGAAGAGAAAAGAAAAAAAAAGTCAAAGACCTGAGCATAAATTAAGCTTATCTAACACAATTTAGAGCCAGATCCAGAATGTGTTACAATATCCATTTTTTTCACAGCTTGGGTCCCTTGGAGTTGCTTGTTCCCAAGAGAAGCATTCCAGTGTTCCCTGTAACTGTGTGGATGGATGCTGGGATGGATGCCACCTCCGGAGTGACAGCTGCTCCAAACACATGGGGACATGCAAATGTTGTCATTGGCTCAGGGACTGTCTGGGCTGCTCCTTTTCCCTTTGGCTGAGCAGCCTTGCGGCCTCAAAGGGGTGAGTTTGGGCCAGGGAGGGTCTCCTTTGGCTGCAGAGATGGAATTGGGGCTGGGGCTGGAGCTGGAGCAGGGAGCGTGTCCTTTGGCTGCAGGGCTGGAGCAGCTGAAGCTGGAGCTGGAGAAGCTGAAGCTTCCTCCACCTGCCCAGTCAGTGCATCACAAAGACCCGCAGCCAGGCAGGAGGTACAGCTGCAGTGGCATCTGCCCCATCCTGTGTGGCATCAAGAGCCCAGGGGATTCAGAAAGTCACAAAGGGGGTTCTGTCAGTGCTGCAGCCTCAGGGACCGTGGCTGTGCTGGGGACAGGGTTTCTGTCTGAGTCAGTGGCACTCTGGAAGTGGTGTCGGTGTCCCTGTGATGGTCAGGGCTCACCACTTCTGCTTCCTGCTCTGTGGTCCATGAGTCCTGAACACACAGCCCCTCCCTTCAGGAACTCAGACAAAAGAGGAGGACTCTGTTCTGGAGAGTGTGTTTCCTACAGTGTTTCAGACAGGCCTGTGGAGAAGTCTGGATTAGATACTGGAAGTATCCCTCTTTGAGGCAACAACCTGGAAAAATAAATAATGGTGGCCTGTGCAAATTGGATTTATGGAGCTTTAACAGTGCTGACCCATGAATTTTGATAAATACATTTATACTATTAATAAAGGCACTGAGCTGCTCAGCTATTGAGGGATGTCTAAAAGCTTTCTGGATGAGCAGCTGCAATGCACATTTTGCTGTATTGCTTTCCATAAATCCATAACTGGGATCCTCCTGGCCATGTGCAAAGGTCTCTGGAGAGCACAGAGCTGGCACAGTCTGCTCCCCTCTCTCTGTTTGATCCTAGTGCAAGGAATGAAAAAGGTGTCACTGACTGGAAAACTCTTTTAAGTATTAAGTTTTAAGTATTTTCAGCTAGATCTTCATTGAATTGTGTCCACCCAGCAGCTTGACTTGAAGTCACTGTGACAGGGGAAGGAAGAGAATAACGAGGAGCTGTACCCCAGGATTAGGGACCAAAACTCTGCTGTTGGAGTTGCACAGTTTCAGCTTTAGACAGAAAAGTCAAATGATGCTCCATCACTGCAGGAGGCTGCTGAAAGGATATTTGATGTACTCTGTGGAACTTTGCTATGTGCAGCTCTCAGTGTTACTCACAAAAGGAAAAACAGAAGGTCAGTCCTTTCAGTGCAGATAAAGAGGGTGACCTGGATAGGGAAATGTGATCTAAAATAGGGGAGGCTGAACTTAAACTGGCTATTACAGCTCAGGAAAAAGATGCTGAAGTCCTCACTGATGGTTTGCCAAAATTGTAGCCTTGATGTGCAGATTAAAAAAAAATACAGTGGTGTCATCAGGAAGGGCTTGGGCTTGCAAAATAACGAAGAGAACATCTCCTGCCTGTTGTGTAACACCTTGGTGCACCCACATCTGTGCAGGTCTGCCTCTGATCATGGAATCCTATAATCATGGCATAATTTGGGTTGGAATGGACTTTAAAAGGTTGTCTAGTTCATCCCCTCTGCCATGGACAGGGATGGCTTGCACTAGGTCAGGTTGCTCAGAGCCCCATCCAACCCTGGTCTTGAAAGTTTCCAGGGATGGGGCATCTGAGCTACTCTCTGAGTAACCTGTGCCAATGTTTTACCACTTCCACTGTGAAAACTTCTTCTTTACATCTAATCTAAATCAAACCTCTTTGTTTGAAACCATCACCTCTTGTGCTATGGCAACAGGACATCTTAGGATGTGAGAACATTCTGGATTTACAGCCCTGAGCAGGACAATTGAGATCAAGGGGAGGGGGTAGCTGCAATACAAAGGGTTCTGGGGAGGCTGGGATTTTTCTCTGGAGAGCAAAACATGCCAGCCCTACAAAATCATAAAGAGAATGTGGACCTGGTGCTTGATGAGAGCTAGAGGCCATTGATCAATCTGGTGGATTGATTTTAAATGGATAAAAAGGACTTTATTTGGAGCAGGTGGGAGAATGAATTTCTGGAACTCACTGCCACAGGAGGCTGTGGAAACAAATAGGATCAGCAGGTTTATAAAAGGTAGAGCAGATTCATGAGCAGCAGCAGGCCAACAGACAGATGCTGAAGGTAACAGGCAGGAATGTAGCCTCTGGAATTGTTATTACTGCTTGTGTGGGAGCTGGAGGAACACAACCAAAGCCGGGCCCTCCCCAGATGGCATCTCCTGCTGCTGAAAAATGCAGAAAAACAACACAAGGAGAGAGGAAGCACTGATGTCACCAGCAGAGCACTGCCTGCATCTCAGCTCCAAGCAAAATCAGATCTCCCAGGTGGTTGCTGTGTGGTAGGAAGACAGAGCAACCAGCAGGAAGAAAGATTTTGCATTTCTATTCAATTTCCATCTCTGTAGTGAAAATCTAATCAATGCTCATTTTCTGTCTTCCACCACTTTTCCTTTTTCCACTGGCAAAACAGCCAGTGGAGGAGGTGGGGGGATTCCAGAAAGTTTGAATTAAAGTATATTTCAATCATTCCTTATTTTCAGACTGCTTGCCTGAGGAAAAAAATCCCCTCAAAAACTGATGGAAGCCACCTCCAAACATTCAATATCTCTGGGAAAAGAGGGAGGGGATGGGGTCACAGGGACAAGACCTTAGTGTCCCTTATTGTTAGCAGGGTAAATAAAAGGAGGAAACCAAGGAACTACAAACCAGTTGGGTTCAAGTAAAAAAAAACAACAACAAAACAAACAGTGGGACTTTTAATCAAAGAAAGAGATGAGTAATAGTTGTGGCCTTTGCCAAGAATGAATCCTTTCAGATGAGTCTGTTTTCCTTCCATGACAGATTCCAGTCCTTTGTTTACCATTATTATTTACTGTTCTGTCATCAATAACTTGTTTTGTAGTGGAGAACATCCTTATTAAGTTCTCAGATGTTCCTGAGCTGGAGGGGCTGCCAGCACTGGCATAAAATTCAAAAGGATTCAGACAAATCAGGGAGGAAAAATCTCTTTTCAGCAGGAAAAATCTGACATTTAGGAAAGACTGGCTGTCCAAACACACAGCAAAGAAGCAAAAGACCTATTGGCTGCACCACTCATGGGTTACACTATTGCCATATTGAATTCCAATATGGGATGCATAAAAAAGAACAGTCTGTAAAACACATGATGTTTTCCCTCCTCATTCCAGCAAGAGGATCTCTCAACTGGTCTCCTAAGATCAGCTTCCAGCGAGAAATAAATTCTCTATCTTCCCACTGCTTGTTTTCTAGATTCCCCTTGCCGCTGGGAAGATAGAAAATTCATGGAAAATTCCCATTAAACTCCCCATGGATGCTTGACCTCCTCCAGGAGTGTGTGTTTCTGTGTCCCTCTCCAGGACACACTCCTCAGGGACATGACTATAGCCAACATAATAAGATTAGAATCCAAC